TGGCTACAAGTCTGGCCTTATACCTGCCAATTGTGCCATCAGAATTATATTTTATTCTAAAAACCAATTTGCAGCCAATACAGTTTTTATTAGGAGAAAGAGTAGTTAAAATCCATGTATTGGTTTTCTCAAGAGCTTCTATTTCTTTATTCATGGCCTCAACCCATAATGGGTCTGTTGAAGTTTGTTTGTAAGTTTTAGGCTCATTGTTTGAAGAAATAGATGCAGTAAAACATTTATGATTGGTATTGAGCCTATCCGTTGAAAGATATGATGCAATGGGATAAGGTGATGTGCCAGATGTGATGAACTGTGAAGGAATGGAAGTAAAATTGGAAGAGTGAGGTAAGGAGTGACTATATATATCCAGATAGGAGGGTGGCTTTCTGGTTCTTGTAGATTTTCTGGTTTCTGGAGGTGACAAAACAGGAGAGGAAGGTTGTATAGGAGATGATGGTTGTGTAGGAGAATGTGTTGGGGAGGATGGTATAGAATTGGTAACATTTGAAGGAGAAGAGGTAGGTGCAGTAGTTTGCAGTAAAGGTGTTGGAGTATTTGTAGAATCAGAGATGGGACTATCATCCATAAAAGGTGGTGGAATAGGGAAAAGAGAGTCATGAGAAGAAGGATTATTGTTTTGAAAAGGAAACACAGTTTCATAAAAAGTCACATTTCTGGAAATCAATATTTTCTTGGTTTCCAGGTTGTAAAGTCTATAGCCTTTACAACCAAGAGGATAGCCAAGAAGAATGCATTTGGAAGCTCTACTTTCAAATTTGGTTCTATGAGATGAGATAGTAGAAGCATAACATAAACAGCCAATCACCTTTAAATGGTCATAAGTAGGGACTTTGTTGTATAAAATTTCAAAGGGTGATTTGTTTTGTAAAAGGACAGAAGGAATTCTATTGATAATATGAGCTGCACCTAGAATGCAATCAATCCAAAATTCAAGAGGTAAATGTGCATGAAACAGTAAGGCTCTAGCTACATTCAAGAGATGTTGGTGTTTTCTTTCAACCCTGCCATTCTGTTGAGGAGTTTCAACACAAGAAGTTTGATGTTGAATCCCCAAAGATGAGAAAAAATCATTCATAATAAACTCTGTATCATTTTCAGTTCTGATAGTTTTAATAGATGAATGGAACTGAGTTTTTACAAGATTATGAAAATGTATTAAATGATTTTTAGCATCAGCTTTTGAGTGCAAAGGATATATCCATGTAGTTCTACTTAAATCATCAACTAAAGTGAGGAAATATCTAAAACCAGAATGTGATGTAACAGAGAAAGGACCCCAAATGTCACAATGAATCAATTCAAAAATGCAGGAAGCAATTGAATTACTGATAGAAAAAAGGTAATTTCTTCTGTCTAGAGAAATGGCATACATCACATGGTTTAGAAGCAAGATGTTTACAATTGTTATCAGTGAACTGTAATGATTGCAGTTTGTGATAAGAAAGATGTCCAAGTTTATTGTGCCACAATTCAGAAACAGAAACATCAGTAGAAACATTAGCAGCAACATCAGCAGAAGTAGAAGTACTTCTGATATAAGAAGATACAAAAGATAGACTATGAAAATTTAAGAAATATAAGCCATTTTTAGCTTCAGCAGAACCAATCATCCTGTTGGATGTTATTTCCTGCACAGTGCAATGAGAAGAGAAAAAATTGACCATACAGTTGTTAGTGGCAGTTAGCTAGATATAGAAATTAGATTGAAAGTGAAGGAAGGGACAAATAAGGCATTGTGCATCACAAGATAAGGTCCCAGATTTATCTGTCCCACATGGCATGCACAAGCTTTTTGACCATTAGGAAGATTAATATGAATGGAAACAGGGGACGGGGGAGAAGTAAATAAAGAAATGTCACATATCATATGATCAGAGGCACCAGTGTCAAGAATCCAAAAATATTTGTTACTGTTGGTAGTACAAATAGAGTAAATTGTGATACCTGAAGGAACAGGATTCACATGAGCAGTGGCAACCACAGGAGCAGGGTTAGGTCCAACTCCATGTTTGCTATCATAGGACTTTTTGAATTCAAGAAACTCATGAAACAAGGTGTCAGTAGTAGAGGTTTCAGAAGTAGTAGGGTTAGAAACAACAGAATTAGCAGAGACAAAATCAGGATGTTTTCTAGGGCCTTTTGGACCTTTCCAATGAGCTGGATAACCAATAAGTTGGTAACAGTTTTCAAGTGAATGATCGTAACCACAGTGAGAACATTTTTGTTTTGATTTGTCTTTAGAGAAAGGTGGTTTGGTGTATTTGGTTTGGAACTGAGGTGCTTTGGCCAACATAACAACATAATTAATGGTTTTGCTTGAAATATATAAAGACCTTTGACTTTCTTCTTGAAGAAGAAGTGAGTAAACCTTTGAAAGAGAGGGTAGGGATGAAGACAACAAGAAATGACTGCGAATAGCAGAGTAGGTATCATTCAAGCCAATGAGAAATTTTATAACTGAGTCATCTTGTTGGGCAGTAACCATAGCATCAAGTATGTTGCAAGTACATGAGTTTAGAGCACCACAATTACAGCGAAAAACAGGTATGTAGGCAGCATACTCATCCCAAAGAGATTTGAAAGAGTTGTAATAATGAGTAACAGACATAGAACCCTGGTCCATAGTACTTAAGGCTTTTTCAAGTTGGAAAACCCTAGGACCACTAGATAATGTATATCTGGATTTCAATTCGTCCCAAACATCCTTAGCAACAGTAAAGAACAACAAAGATTGGCGAATTTCCTTGCTAACAAAATTTAAGAGCCAGGATAATACCAAATTATTCGCACGCACCCAAGCAAGAGAGTCAGAGGGATTATCAGAAGGATTAGGGACAGAAATTGTACCATCAACAAACCCTAGTTTGTTTTTCACACTGAGCGCCATAGAAACAGATCGTGACCATGAGACATAATTGTCGCCGGTGAACGGTTCAGCAATGATTAAGGCTCCCGGATTGTCACTCGCATGGAGGAAATACGGAGATGCAGGATCGTTAGTCGGTGTCGGCATATCGGCGATAAACAGCAACAAACAGTAGAAATCGGTCGGATTGTGTGAGAATCGAACAATCGATGACAGATCTAGTGCTAATCGTCGGAAAAATATAGGCGATCGAGAAGATCCCCAAATTTCAGAGAGAATCGGCGATAAGAGATTGCCGAAAAAAATCGAAATAAATCGAAAAGAATTCGATTGAAACGTGTAAAAAAAATGAAATGCAGCGGAAATTAGTAGAGGGTCGGAATAAACTGAGCGATTGATACCATGTAAATGTTCATATGAACTCAGCGAGAGAGAGAGAATGAAGAACACAAAAAGGAAAGCTTCATTATCAGAAAATGAAAAGTGGAGAATGAAAAGTTGAGTTACAATTAGGGTTAGGTATCCTTTTATATGGAGGACTAATGCTAAGGGTACAAATAATAAAACATAAGGTACAAGTAAACCTAACTACAATTAAATTAATGCATACAGTTAAACCTAACTACATAAGATCTAAAAGCATACAAGTAAACCTAACTACATATAATCTATTAATTATTGAACAAATACATACTTACTTTGGAAATGTCATAATTTTTGTTTATGTTGTTATATGAAATGTTTATTTAAAAAGTATCAGTTTAAAGTTATTATAATTTTATAAAATTGGAGCAGACTTATCGATCGTATCAAAAATCAGTTCACTGGTACAAATCGATTGTTGTTGAACTAATTAAATCGGTCAGAACGGGAAAAAACAAAACGGCACAACACCTATTTTTAATTTAATAAATATAGTTTTAAAATTTTTAAAAATAATACTTTTCAATATGAATTTAAATATATTGAATATTTATTAGAATAATTTTATGATGATGGTTGACATAATGATGTGTATGTATTTTGAGTTGTTGATTTTCAAAATAATGTGATGTATAAAATCATAAGACCGTGTCAGGTATGTGTTGCGTTCAAATCTATATATATATATATAATTACTACCTAATAGCATTTAATAAAACCTATTTAATTTTACCTATGTGACAATTTAATCATTTTCCCTTAAAAAACCGTTACTTTTGATGTATTTAATCTTTCATTTAATTATTAAATAATCGACACACTAATCACTTCAAAATTACAAAATTCATTTTAAACTTTTGATTACTGACAGTCGACTATATAATGTGTTGACCGTATAATGTGATTAGATGTTATTATTGTGGTTACATTTAAATTATTATTTTTTTAAATGATTTTTTTTTTTGAAATTCCTAAATAAATAATAAATAATCCACAAAAAAAAAACGTACCCAAATATTCATTACATCCAATCAGATAAACGCGATTTAAAAAAAAAAATATTCCAACTCCTTTAATTATAAATTTGGCCAGCAAAAAGGTGAAAGAAAAATAATTAATCATTATATGTATAAAAATAACTCACAATATTTTATTTACATATGTGCAAATGCACATAGTCGAATACTAGTTTATGTTAACTATTGTATTTGTGTAGCATGACCCAAATTATTATACGAATTTAATTGATTTATCTGAATATTTGATAAATAATAGTTTAATTTTATACATAAATTTAAATATATTATTTAATTAAATGCCAATGTAGCTTACCAACTATTAATATGAAAATCTTAATTAGATATTATTATTCTACCTTATAAAACAATATAATTGTAGAAAAAATAGCACGATAATAAAAATATTATTTTATTGAAATACAAATTTGATATACTATTTCTTTATCTTACAACATTTATTTCTATTTTCAAGTAATAAAACTCATTTATTTGTTATCAAAATCCCAAATATTGATATTTACCAAATCCCTAACCTTAACAACCCCTCTTTCACTATCAAGATCGCCATAACCATATCACATTCCTCCTCTGAGAGCGAAAAACTCTTCTTCGCCGGAAAAAAGTTAGATAATTTATCATTTTTGGTCTGGATACAAGCCGGAATCGGAAAAATGTACAGTGGGTCCAGTGACGGCGAGGCGCCGGCCCAGAGGAAAATTCCGGCGGCATCCTCGATGCTCTGGGTACGTAACCTCCGCCGCTACATCGGATCTGGCGCGGGCCTCGGATCCGAAGCTCTCATGGGTACGTATGTGCTTGAGCAGGTGCTTTTTGCACACTGTAGTTTTTCTAATACATAACAATTACGGACTGAGAATTTGGGGTTTTGTGCTTTTACCTCGTTCAGAGCTAGAGACGAAAAGGATTTTGCTGGATATCTTTAAAGCGAAGCAGCAAAAGAGCGCTGAAGCTGGTACCATCCCGAGCTTCTACAAGAAGGTGGGTTATTAAATTGGTCTTTTTTTTTTTTTTT